GCTCCGCGGGAGAAAGAGGAGGCTTTCTGCTCCCGTAAAGATTTACAGCCTCAGAAACCCTGTTCAGGGTTGCTATGGGTCGGAACCGACTCGACGGCACTTAAAAACAACAAAAACAATTTTGTTCAGCCTATATACTTCAAATCTGGTCCAAATAACTTTGGTATTTCATCAAAGACCTTTATAGCTAAGAAGAGACTAGGAAGAGTTATTTGGTCCTGCCAAACAGATTAAAGACTGTACATTCAAAAAGCATTGAAATAGATTGGAAAGGAAAAGAATGTTTCTTAATACCAATGAAACTAAAGAGAATCAGTGAAATGAATGTCATAAAATACACTTCACAGGCATTTTCAGGGAAAGTTTTTCTTTATGTAGGTACCATCACCAAATGAGCAGCGACTTTATGAATTTCCTTTCAAGACACATAAAATCAAATTCAAAATTAAGTAGATTACTCATGTAAACTATCATATAATTCATAATAAAACATTTTAAAAAATAGATACTGCACTGAATTCATGTATATAAAAAAATATTACCTTATTTCTGAACTTTACACCATAGAATTTGTCAGCAGACTCCAGCAGCTCAGGCCTGAATGTAGTTGTAATAAATTGAGCATGTACAGCAAGTTCCATAATCATATCTGGAAAAAGAAAGTAACTTAATAAGTTCCTTTTCTCAGCAGAGCTGGAAAATTTTAAAGCAAGTATCTTTACTCTTAATCAAAACAAAAAACTGTCAAATGGCTTGTGACTTTTTTTTTCATACACACATCTGTAAAAACCAACTGGATTTCTAAACTAGATAAATCTTTAATCTCAGTACTGAATTACAAAATAAAAAGTTTTAATTTAACATAAAAAATCAACTTTTACCACAACATAAAAAATGCCAGAGCAAAATAAATTTTCTCACACAAAATACAGAAACCACCTTTCCTTCTGCTACCCACACCCCCAAAAATATTCTGAACTTGCTGAAATACACAATCCAATTCTTTAAACACAGAATCAATACTGGTTATAACAGCTGTTTAAGCATCAAAATGACAAGTTTTAAATGAGACTTCTGTATGAAAATTTAATTGGAGTAGAATTTTCAACTGATTAAAACAATTACATCTATTTCTCAGAAAACTAAACTTAGTAAATTAAAAAAAAATTTTTTTGGAAAAAACAAACCTAAAAAAAACGCCCCCAAACCCATAAGCTTTCCAACGCTGTAAATCTCTGCAGAAGCAGACTACCTCATTTTCTCCCAAGGTGGGGGTTTGAACCACTGATCTTTTGGTTAGCAGCCCTCTGTTTAACCCAAATGCCACCAGTGTACCTGTTAGAGAACCCTCCCAAATATCTTAGGCAATAAAAAGCCATTATGGAGAAGGTATGTTAGCATTCTTAAGCATGTTTCAACTATTAAGTACAAAACTGAAATTGTACCTGACACAGCCTTTCTGTGTTGAGCGTCCAGAGCCTGGTCAATCTCATCAAACAAGTAAAAAGGAGCTGGGTCACATTTCTGAATTGCAAATATCAGAGCAAGAGCTACCAAGGATTTCTGTCCACCAGAAAGCTGTTGCATTTCTCTCATCTCACCTTGTTTTCCTGTAAATGACACCTATGAAAATATTTAATGGGTCAGTATCTTAAAGAAGTAGAATCACCATTGCCTCTTAAAATTAAACTGCACATAATGTACCAATTTGCAAAAAATATTCTATAAATTATTCTCTTCTGTGGTAATACTCCGGAAAAAATGGAATTTGAAGAATTTTACCCTAATTCCAACTCCAGTGAACTGGTCAACTGATGGGACACTGCTCTGTGATCCAGAGCCCCTCTCACTTTCACCACTCCCTTCTCCTTCATCCTGAGACTGACTGCCTTCCACATCGCCTTTCTTCATCACCAAAGTAGCTTTGCCACCGGGTACCAGCTTCTGGAATACTTCACTGAAGTTCTTAGATACCTTTAAAAAAAAAAAAAAAAAGGATGTCAATTCAAATGTAAATTTTGTGTCGGTATACTTATTATACCCATCGCTGCTTAAAATAAGTACTTTAAAAAACGAGGATAACTATAGATTAGATCTTTGTAAGAGTTGTGTAAAACATTCAAGTTACTACACATTAGTCACCTATATACTAGATTTGTTCACATTTATTAGGTCAACTTGTAAGTGGGAAGAAAAATCTTAATCTTTACAAACTGAGTAATTGTGGGAATTTTTCGTCTGGTTATGTTTATTTAGCTAGTGAAGAGAAACATACCTGTTTGAAAGTTAACTGAATAGCCTCATATTTTCGGAGTTCAAGTACATTCATTAGTTCCATGATTGATTTGTACCCCCTGTCCAACTCTTCTTGCCGTTTTATTAGCTTTTCCTTCTGCTCAGAAAAATTTACAAACTGGTCTAAAGCTTTTTTATTAACATGGCTGTACTTCTTCAATTCTGTGTTGCACTGTTCAAGTTTTCGGAACAACTACAAAGAGAAAAACTTGTATCAATAAATAAGCTCAAGCTACTGAAAAAAAAATGATGTTTTGGAACATATGAGAAGATTTATAGTTAACGTTTCAAATTTAAAACCAACTAGGATTTACCTGTTTGAGGCTCAGTGTCTGGTATTTTTCAAATGCTTCCTGGGGGAGTGATCCAAGTTCTCGAATTTTCTTCATACATTCTTCTTTCTTCTTCAGTAGCATACCTTGTCGATTTGTCATCTTTTCCAGTTCTTTAGTATCATGATTTATAGCATCCATGTGTTCTTTTTCCATATTTTTCCACCGTTCCATACTCTTCTGAAGCTCCTTAATTCCAGCTTCAGTTTTATCAATGGAATTGTCCAGATCTAAGATAGGAAATAAAAAATCAGGCCACAAAACAGTTCAGTATGGATTAAACCTCAACATAGAGAAAACAAAAATCCTCACAACTGGATCAACAAGCAACCTAATAAACAGAAAAAATGGAAGTAGTCAAGGACTCTTTTTGAATCTACAGACAATGCCCAAAGAAGTTTGTTGTTGTTGTTAAGTGCCATCGAGTCAATTCTGACTCATTGTGACCCTGGTATAGTGTTTCCATGGAGCAACTGGTGGATTTGAAACACCAAATTAGTGGTTAGCAGTCCAGTGTTTATCCTACAGTGCCACACCAGGACTCAGCCCAAAGAAGTAGCAGTCAGGAATCAACCTATAAAAGACCTCTTTAAAGAGTTAATAAGCAAAAAATGTCACTCTGAGGACTAAGGAGCACCAGACCAAAGCTAAGGTACTGTCAATTGACTCATATGCATGTGAAAGCTGGGCAATGAATTAGGAATTTATTGTTGTTGTTATTAAGTGCCATCCAAGTCCTGGCTCACAGCAACCCTGAACAGGGTGGTTTCCAAGGAGTGGCTGGTGAGTTTGAACCACCAACTCTGTAGTTCAAACTGAGCTTTTGGTCCAGTGCTTATCCTACAGCACTACATCAAGAATACTATATCATGGAATGGCTGAACAGGGGACCTTGGTGACACTGTGGGTTAGGTGTGGGACTGCTAACTGCAAGGTTAGCAATTTAAACCTACCAACCACTCCAAGGGAGAAAGATGAGGTTGTCTGTCTCCCCTAAAGATTTAGTCTTGGAAAACTTTACATAGGGTTATTAAGAAGACAAGAAAGAATAGACCAAAATGTCACAAGACTCAGATACTTGCTCTCCAGCATAGAGATGCTAAAAAGCAAATGAAAAGAAATGAAATAAAAGAGTAGAACAGAACATTTCAAAGGGCAGTATGAGAAGACAAAGTCAAATATTATAATGAAATGTGCAAAGATCTGGATTTAGAAAACCAAAAGGGACAAATGAACATTTCAGCATTTCTCACACTGAATGAACAAGTCAAGTTGAGACTTGACTTTTTCCTTAATATTGAAGGGTTCTTTGTGTAAACCACTGAATGGTGCAAAAAGCATTAAAAGAAGATGGAAGGAAAACAGAGTCACTGTACCAAAAAGAAATGGTCGATGTTTAATCATTTCAAGAGGAAGCACATGATCAAGAGCTAATGATACTGAAGAAGTCCAAGGTGCACTGACAGCAGTGGTAAAGAACAAGGCTCGGGGAATTGATGGAATACAAACTGAATCTTTGAACAAACTGAGGAAGATAAGAACTCATTCATCTATGCCAAGAAATCTGAAAGACAGGTACCTGGCCAACTGACTGAGGTAGCATGTGATCAAAAACCCACGGTAATAAAGGAAGAAGTTCAAGGTGTACTCAAGGAATTGGCTAAGAACAAGGCTATAGAAATTGATGGAATACAAATTGCAGTCTTTCAACAAACTGATGCAGCACGGGAGGCACTTACTCATCTATGTCAAAACATATATGGAAGAGAGCTACCATGCTGACTGGAAGACATCCATATATGTGCCCATTCTAAAGAGAAGTGACTCAATGGAATGCAGAAATCATAGGACAATATCATTAGTATCACATCAAAGTAAAATTTTGCTAGAGATAGTTCAAAAACGGCTACAATAATACGTAAGTGCCAGAGGTTCAAGCTGGATTCAGACGATGACGTGGAATGAGGGGTATCACTGCTGATGACAGATGGATATTGGCTGAAAGCATAGAGTACCAAAAAGATGTTTACCTGTGCTTTACTGACTATGCAAAGGCTTTCAACTATGTGGATCACGACAAATTATGGACAATATTTCAGAGAATGAGTATTCTGAACACTTAATTGTGCTCATGGGGAACCTATATACAGACTAAGCAGTTGTTCAAACAGAACAAGTGGACACAGAACAGTTGCAATGACCACAGCCTTCAGTATGGGTTGTACCTCAATATGAAGAAAACAAAAATCCTCACCACTGATCCAATAAATAACATCATAATAAATAAGGAAGACTGTAAGAGAATTGATATATTTAAGTTATGGTGTTGGAGAATATTTAAAGGTACCATGGACTGCCAGAAGAGCTATCACTTCTGTGTTGGAAGAAGCACAACCAGAATGCTCCTTAGAAGCCAAGATAGCCAGACTTCATTTCTCATACTTCAGGAAGATCAGTCCCTAGAGAAGGACATCATACTTAGTAAAGTGGAGGGTCAGCAAAAATGAGGGGGACCCCTAACAAGACAGATTGGTATAGTGGCAGCAGCAATGGGTTCAAGTGTGGCAGCAATTGTGAGGATAGCAAAGGACTGGGAGTTGTTTCATTCTGTTGTACACAGGGTTACAACCTACTCAATGACACCTAACAAATAGCATGGGTCTGGTTTTTATGGTTTTTTTTTTTTAATGTTTTATTGTGAATTATGTGATAGTTTACATGGGAAAACATTAGTTTTACATTCATTCTATCGTATATCATCTCATTGCCAT